TGTAGTGTGCGCGAAGTGTATAACGTCGTAATAACCAGAATAAAGAAACAGTAGTGTAACAACAATCATTGCAAATGCACCGGATAAGCACTAAGAATGACATCAAAGACAGTTTTCCTCTACAGGTCTCACTCGTGTACATGTTGGCTGTCAATTTCTAGAATTATATTAATCTTATTACAAGATAATTTCAATGTGGACGGGGCTTTTTTTTATGTGAAAAAGTGGCGAACGAGCTGGTGGTTCACCTAATGTTAAGTGATAACCGCCGCCCATGGACATTTACAACAACCGTAGGGTTGCAAATGCGTTGCCATCCTTTTAATATCGTGGGCCCCGGCTACCTCACTCAGCAGACGAAACGAAGAAGTGTAATACTTCTACTTTACGCCGGCCTTCTGTGAGGTCGTAGTACTTACCCGGATGGACCAGCCCGTTGGTGCAACAGTGTTGCGTAGCCCTACCACCGTAAGACATACGTAGTGGCCTTCGCTGAACGGCCTTAGTGACCAGCGAGAAGCGAAAGTATTATATTACTTTTTTTTTTTTTTTTTTTATGCGAAAAGTTGTCAAACGAGCAGACGGTTCACCTGATGTTAAGTGAATACCGCCGCCCATGGACATCTGCTACACTCGAGGGTTACAGATGCGTTGACAACCTTTTGAAAATTGGGCTCCGGCTACCTCACTCACCAGACGAAACGCGAAAGTATTTGTCATACTTCCACTTTACGCCGGTCTTCTGTGAGGTCGTGGTACTTACCCGGACGGGCCTGCCCATTCGTGCAACAGCCGAGGCTGCTGCGTGGCCCTACCACCGTAAAATTATATTACTGTGCTTCGAGTGAGGTAATCCACATTTTAAAAGGTTCCAACGAATCTCCAACTCCACAGATGTGACAGATGTCCATTTCATGGACTCCATGAGCAGCGGTTTATGTTTTTAAATGTTCAAAATAATAATGCTTGTGTAGACAAAGAAACAGTAATGCTACTGAAATATCCATCAGTCAGAAAAGGGAACAGAATGTGATATTTGTTCGTAGGAAAACACAGAAGTATTTTCTCGATAGTTCCGACCAAATTTGCTCTTAACGAAAGTGTTTTTGTCATGGTATCAGTTACTAAAAGCAGATATAGACTCGGTCCGTAGCTTTATTGTATGAAATTGAAAGGTTCTGGGTCAACGAGTTTCTATTTTCGGATAACAACTCCATTATGAAGTTAAGTTTTTGTAATTATACATGGAATAGAAACATAATTTCCTGACTTCTTTGGACCAATCTAAATCTTCGTTACGTTAGTAAGCTTACAGGTTATAGATAAATCGATTAAAAAAATTAAATTATAAAAGATGTTGAAAAAATGATATCTCTATTGCACTAATGCGCGCCTTATATGATACTTCAGCTAATGAACACCTACAATATCGCTGGGGTTGCAAATGCGTTGCCAAGTTTTAAAGTATAGGGCCTGACACCCGACCTTTCAATGTGAGAAAGTGGCAAACGAGCTGGTGGTTCAAATTTGCAACACCCGTATAATTTGCAGACGCGTTGCCACCTCTTAATAAAGTGTGCCTCGGCTACCTCACTCACCAGACGAAACTCAGAATTGCTACACTTCTACTTGACGCCGGTCTTCTGTGAGGTCGTGGTACTGACCCGGACGGACCTGCCCATTCGTGCAACAGCGAACACTGTTGCGTGGCCCTACCACCATTCAAACCGTTGATTTGTAACTGATTGGAGTAATCTTTTAAAATCTCATCTACGGTTTTGAAGCCCAACCTCTTAGGTATAATATTTATAATAATTTTAACGGATATCTTTTCATCTATTGCTCTATATCATTACTCTGGGTTATAGACATTCCTGAGGTTGACATTCCTTAAATTAGTAGACAAGGAAGGGTAAGAATATCCAATGACACGAGTGACGCAGCGTTGCGAATATCTCAAACATATATTTTTGCCCTATAAAAACATGGGACGCTGCGTGGTGGACTCAAAGAGTTCTAAAAACTTTGAAAAAATTAAACATTGTTTCGGATTTTGAAATGTTCTATTATTTTTTTAAGTGTCACGCTCGGAGAGGCAAAGGCCGCTTTTTAAAATAAAGCTGACGTATTATGAAAAGGGGAGTGCCGCTTCGAGCTTGTTAATGGAAAAAATGTAAAGAGTTGAGTAGGTCATTAGAGACCTTTGACGTCTCTTAATAATGGGGATAATGGCCGTGATATTGCAATTTTTAATGAGATATACTGTAAATACGGAAGAAGGAAATTTACTGTTAGAACAAATGACAATCAGCTTATGTTTATCTTAGCACATTCCACTGTTAAATTACATAGTCCGGGGTCCCAGGCCCATTTTCACCTTTTATTACTAACACGCAGATTTTTGTGAGTAGCTTAATTTTGACGAGACGGCCAACCTTTTCCTTACAACATTTTTGGTAAACGGTAGCTAACAGGGTTAGCAGAGGTAAAATATGTTGATTTGAAGAATTTCAAAAATTTATTCCAAGATAATTATCTAAATAAACCGAAACTAATATTTGTCCTACAAAATTTAAGGTTTTATCAAGGAGTCCCCCTCTCCAACATGTATAATTAACAAGGTCATGAAAAATAATTACTAACCAGCTGATTTTTTTCTATTGATTAATTAATATTTAATATAGTTTAACACCCACATTGTCCTAAAAATTATGTGGTACGTTATCCCGGTCCTCCAGTTCCATATTTGAAATTCATGAAATTAAAAATAAAATTATTTTCTTCATTTCGCTATTGGAGCTGAATCACACTACTACGCATGCGCACAGCATTATATACTCTATACTACGTATTCCATGCTGGTGACGGCTATAACCAAGTAAAGTAGTTTTCAGTCCAACTCGTGTTTTGTTTGTCTTTCGAAAAATATTTGAATAAAGTGTAACCCTGCTACTTCAACAGAGGAAACCTAGAAATATCCGAATATATACACTTTCATTTCGCGTTGGTCTTCTGTGAGGTCTTGAGTGATGTTTTCTACATCTCTTGGCATGAACCCTCTTCGGTAAAACTCAGTACCGGAACAATTTATTAATTCTCACAATTATTTGTTCCATGTGGAAATCTCTCGAAATAAACAGTGGTAAGGCCACGCAGCAGCCTCGGCTGTTGCACGAATGGGCAGGCTCGTCTGGGTAAGTACCACGACCTCAAAGAAGACCGGCGTAAAGTGGAAGTATAATAAATACTTTCGTGTTTCGTTCTGGTGAGTGAGCCGGAGCCCAATCTTCAAAAGGTTGTCAACGCATCTGTAACCCTCGGGTGTAGCAGATGTCCATGGGCGGCGGTATTCACTTAACATCAGTGAACCGCCTGCTCGTTTCGCAAATTTTCACATTAAAAGAAGTCAATAGATTAACAACTGCGCCACCAAGTGGTCTTCGTAGGATACTCTTAATTGTAATTGGAACCTCAAAGAGGTCCAATGTCTTTTCAGGACGCCAAAGTATCAATCTGTTCCATGCGAAGAAATAAGAACATCTTTAAAAGCAAAAGACAAAGCGAAATACTCCGATTTCACACATGTTACTCGCATACAATATCTACAACATTATTGAGTTTGTGTAAGTTAAAGCATTCTCGTTAATCTTTGTTTACATTGAATGTTAATGCCACTTAATAATTACATATTGAATGGATTGTTTATGAAATAATACGGTAATTGGAAGGAATTTATTTTGTTTTAGTCTTTGTTTGTATTCAGTAGTTGATGATAAAAACGTCACCTCGTATTTAGATGGTTGTTTTTATACTGTTTGTGTCTGATACGTTTTGCACCATAATTCTGTTAAATAAACGAATCCAATAAAAACTTGCAAATGGCCTGCTCTTAGCGAGCGTCGCTAATACGTAGAGCATTAGCGACGGTAATGATTTCTTTGATCTTTCTTTTACATATTCACCAGCTTGGATTTATATTTAACATTTGAGAAAATGAAAAAGAATTTATAAAACGAAAACAAATTACGCACGGGAGGACTATCGGCTAATTTTTACCCAAATTATTTCAATCAAAATCGACACTTTTGAAACACTTATTAAATTTATTTCGATGTAACAAACAATAAAATACCTAGCACAAACAAATAATAAAACAAATAAAACAAATAAAACAAATAAATAAATAACAAACAAATAATAAAACAAATAAAATACCTAGCACACTGTCCGTTTCCCATTTATGTAAATAATATGAAAAAAGACATGAACTTTCGATCACTTACTCGTAATTTCCAAAAATACGACAGAAAATCAAGAAATGTAGTTTTAATCAATGTATGTTAATCAAGTTAGCCTAAATAGTTCTCTGCCTCTTCAAACTAATTATGTATGTACCTATTTTTTTTCAATCTACTTATTTATTACCTTAAAATGCCAAAAAGCAATGTAGACAAAAGACGTTAAGATTTTCGTCGGTGTGACAATCAGCCGTTTAGCTTAGTGGCTAAAGCCTTAGTCATAAAAAGTATATAACTTTCCGCTAACATCTGGTCTCTACAGTATTAATTTTATCTCAAATGGAACTAAGGGTCTCGTGTAATACATCCCTGGGAGTAGTACTAGCGTTTACTTATGAAGTTTCATGAATAAAAAAAGTAATTCTTCCTCTTTTTTTTTTTTGGATACTTTTAGGTATTCATAGCATACATACACCTCCCCCACAGACTGATAAGTTATTCTATCTATACATAAAGATAAATAAATTTGGAGTGTCTGTTTGTTATATTAAAATATCCGCTTTTTATTAATTGCATATGGATGTATACACGGTACATATACCAAAATTAGTTTGTTCCGGCTGATATCTGAAACGGCTGAACAGATTTGGACGGGACTTTCACTAACGGATAGCTGATGTAATAAGTAGTAACTTAGGCTACTTTTATTTTAGAATTTTTTATATTTTATTTTCCACGCGGACGAACTCGCGGGCACAGCTAGTATAATAACATACCAATTTCATCTTCAGTCGTTCTTTTACTGCCTTCGCGCCTTCTGTAACAAATTCGAATATTAATAAATTATACGCTGTTAAACTTGATTTGAAATTAATGAAAATTATTCCATTACGCGCAACAAAAAGTTTCCAAAACCAAAAGTTACGTTTTTCGGATTCTTAGGGTTTTCAAATCCCTATCTTATACAGCGCGTCGTTACCATCGCGACAATAAATGAACACACGTCTAACGCTACTGGCCAATAATCACCAAAAAATATTAACGTTAAACAAAATCCATAATTAAAAAAAAAAATATTTTTCAAACAAACTAATTAAGTAAAAAAGAAACAAAATTTGTAACATCCTATACAACTCGCGCCACAGCGTCGCATTACAAGCCTCTCCTTCTAACAGTATGTTTTGTCTCTTTTAAACTGATTCAATCCATTCATATGCTTTGTGACCTTTACAAATGAACTTTACGTTACAGTTTTATACGTAAGGGTATTCTAAAATTGTTTGTTTTGGAAATTTTAATAACTCTGTAAATATTGATGTTTAAAGAATGTAAATGCTTAATACTATTTTAAAAGGTTATCCTCTATATGTGTGTTCATTTATTGTCGCGGTGGTAACGACACGCTGTATATGTACCTTCAAGCCTACTCCTACGTTAAATGCCGGCAACGTAATTGTGACTCAATCGATGTTGCAAGTGTTGCCCCCTTTTTCCATAAAAAAGTCCCTATTTTTGTGCAGTATAAGATTATGACTGACCAGTATTGAAGTTAATGGCAAAATACCCTTAATCTTTATGCACAAAAAATGTACAAAGGCGAACTTGATGCTATCAATGTTATCTTCTAGTCAAGCTTATGCTCCTAGAATTGATTGTAAAATTCGAAAAGAAGAATCATTGAAAAATTGAGGATTACTACTAGTTATTTAAATAATATATTAAATGTTTATAGTGCTAATCTGCTACAGGAATCGAACCAGCATCTTCTGGAATTCCAATAGCAAAGGCGAAACCTCTCGTTCGAATTATCATTGTAAAAGGTTATTTGAAATTATGTGTGTGATGTTAAGGATATAAGATGCCAAAACTTAGAATAAAAATGTGGAAAAAATACATGCAGATAAATAGAATACGTTGAAAAGTCCACGTAGCAATCGGCCGTCTAGTTTAGTGGTTCAAGCGTCCAGGCGCGATCACAGCGAACTTTTCGTCCATTTAACAAAAAAATAATGTAGTAGTCATATAAAAAAATACAGTCTTTGAAATAGGCAAAGAATTCTTGCATGATCACTTGCATGATGTTTTTATTTATTTCTAAACAAAGTCTGTAAAGAAGAACAACATAATCCTGTGGTGCATATACAATAGTTAAAAAACACCAATTAACCTATCAACTATTCAGCGAGGAAATGCAGCTAGCGTTCTTGGCACCATGCCGCGTGGATTAGGTTTATTAGATAATATGTAACTTTAGATAGATTTAATCTTCTAAATATTATAGCGAAAATTGTAAACAATAAAAACACTAATTGAAAAATTCAATTACTCATATCAGAAACAAATTATTGTTATGGGTGTCAACGGATACTACAATCAACAGCATCGAAGACTGTGAAACTTAGCCATCAAAAATCCTCGAAAAAAAAAACCAACAAATACTGTACACGTACAGGCAACGAACTCAGCCAAACATGGTTAAAGCGCTTTCACATGCATTTATTCAATGCGTCGTCTATCTCAAGCGATGTGGAGCACATCGCTCGGTGCCTCGTTCAGCGTGTGAAGCGCTTACGGGCATAAATTTGAGCGTGATGTGAGCTGCGACACCCATTTCTGTTTTCTTTTCCTAAGTCGAGCAAACGTTTGTCATTTCGAATTAGGTTTTCGATTTGTTCGCTTATATTTGCGAAAACAGTAACATGACAGATCGAAATTCAGGCTTCGAAATAGAAATTTATTTTGATCAGAGTTTTGTGCAATATTTCAAAGCTTCCAAATTCTATTTTTGCCATGAAACGAACTCTAGTGTATTCGACATAATTGTTATCTTGTAAAGCTTATTAATTGAGCATAATTTAGAAAAGTGTGGTGTTTCGATATTTCCAATAAAATTGAAAAACAATGAAAATGAAATTATTTGATTACATAATACTTCCCCTTCCTTAATGAAAAAATGGCGAAGATCCCTTTTAGGTATGTTTTTAAATAAAGTGTAAAAGTACAAAACAATACACCAATAGTAAAACTTCAAAAACTCATTAGAGTCCTCCTATTAATCACGTAAAATCTGACTGAAAACTTAGATCGCGATTTAGACTACAATTGAAGCACTAAATGTTAGTGGTGTACTGTAGTTCCATTACTAGGTACAGTTTCAATTATATACATGGATAGATACAGCGCTATAAAGGCAAAGGCGTCTAAGATGGTAAAGCACTCAATTTTTTTGAATGCTCACTTAAGCACGTATGCATGGGAATGTTGAAAGCGCACACATACAAACAGAACATTGAACATCTCACAAACTAAATTCTAGTACCTAGTAAGTCGAGTCAGGTAACATCGAGGAATGATAAATTTTGACAGAACATGAAGAAAATTCATGAACGGTGAAGAAATTAAAGAAAGAAAGATGTTATGTCCATTAAATAAGAATTTACATAATCATTTCAAATTACTTTGTTAATACAGACGATAATATAATACTAAAAACAATAAAATTAAAAAATTATTTCACATTTAAATAACTCTTTAAAATGTTAGATTTAAAGAAGTCATAGATATTTGACTTACTTTGAATATCGAGTTGCATTTGTAGAGGCACCGTACTTGTACAGGCCATCTGGAAAGAGGAAAAGAAACACAAATAAATAATTTAATCATAAAAGTAATAATAGTGCTAATAATAATAAACCATTTAAATAATATCAATCTAGCAAGCAATAAATGTAAAATGTTAAAAGTCGCGGTATGTGCGTGTTTTCTATTAAACATAAAACTTGTTGCATCCATGGTTTAAGGATTTAGGAATGCGTCCCAACTCCTTTCCCCTTCCAGTCATTTCCTTAAAAAACTAGCAAAACCTTGAAAATGTGTGGCTTCACAGATTCGCTAATGCTCTTATAAGATTTAATATAATATTTTTCATCACAAGTCATTTTAAATAATCAGGTTAAAAGTACTTCGAAATCAAAAAAATATTCCGAAATTAGAAAAAAAGTTACAGATTATTGTTACTTTTTGTAAAATATAGTTTGTTAATAACACATACTTTAGTATCAAAGTAACAAATTTTGACATAAGCAACAAAGCAACATCAAAGTTAGATTTTTTGGAAAATGAGGCATGGCCCATGGCGCTCTCCGCATGATGGCAACACCAGAGAAGTCACAAATGCGTTGCCAGCCTTTGATATCGAAATTAACCATGTTCTTGAAGGTCTCTTACTCGTATCAGTCCAAAAATATGGGAGTTGTGGATGGAAAAACCATCTGAATGGTCGATAGTATTTTACGGTTTGACACGTTGTATGGAACTTAGCAACAGGAGTAAATCCAAATAATTCCTCAGAGCACTCCCCGTGAATAAATAGATTACGGAAAAAGACCAAACATTTCTTCGCAGTCCACGGAGTCCAAGACCTCCGTTGAATGTGGTCATATTTTAGTTTTTCATTATTAGGTCATTATTTGAGTTACTCCAGCCCAGAAACAGTATTCCAGGTTAGCCACCAAATTTGTACACGATTGTGCTCACCAGACTGCGTGCTACTCTGTTTTCTTCTTACATATCAATAAGTTAATGCACATTCATTGCTATGCACATAACAGTATAGGTGATGTATCATTACGCAACTGCCCAGCCGACATATGAGTATCTATTGACTCCACGTGTAATCAACAACCATGCGTTTTCAGGGACTTTTCTGACATGCATAAAAACTTCGTTGAAGGATATGTGCGAATACTGTATTAAATTGGTAATACAAAAGAATTCCACCTGTACGTATAAATATTTCTGAATGAGACATTACTAAGTGCAAAGAAATTACGAATCAGAAAAGACCCACATGAAAGCAGCGTAGCTTTAATAGACATCAGTGTAATTATACGCTCTAAAGAAATTGTAAACAACCTTATTTCCGCTGAGTAAGGTTGGAAATCGGCGAAACGGAAAAACTAAGATTATTTGAGTGAACGCATGCGATTGTGCAAGCATGGTTTAATAAAGCACAATGCTTTCATGAAACAGTAAAACATGAGCTTTTTAATTTTAGTGATAACTAGCCCGTACCTTTTTACTAAAGTAGATTCCGCCTTTGTAGAAACATGTCATATGTTTTGTGACTGAAACTTATCTATGTTTATTCCCGTTTATTGTTGCTTTGAGATTGTCACGTATAGTTTTGTCCGTGTAATCTCTTCCCTTTGATGTTGACGGATGAGGGGATGAAAATTTGACGTGACCGAAAAATTTGCTAGACTGTACACACTAAATAATTTTTTTTTGCGGCTTTTCTTTTCGGCTTTTGTTAGCTTTTATCTAGTTCTTAATGCGTATGAATCTTAATAAACGATTTTTTTTATTAATCAGTTTACTTTTTTTACTTTAATCCCCACTTTAACAAACAAAACGGAAACCAAATCCTCATTATCTATATATAAAATAAGCTAAAATGTAATACCAAACGTTACAGATTTGTGTTTATGAAAAGATGGCAAATTTTGGTTATGGTTAAGTTTGGTTTTGGGCCATGAGATGTGCAGTTAGTCAATTTAAAATCATAGTTATCATTATCATAGGAACATAGAATATCCACAAAACCCGTAAGTTCTTCGTTCTATGATTGAATGCTTTAGTACCTGGACTGTAACATAAAAGAAATACTTAATTATAATAAATTATCACGATGAACAGAACCATCGATTGATACTGACGGTAGCCCCGGTTAACTTTGATATTAGGAAACAACTTAGTCTGTCCCGTGACCGTGAACGCAGAAAAGGTTTCGAAACATCGGGAATTGAAAATGCAAATAAAAACGTGATAATATCTGTAAATTGGTTTCATTTAAACAGGGCCATAGATATTCTGAATATAAGACAGGAGAAATATGTCAGGGTGTATATTATGTATTTACCCAAATAGCATTGTACGCCTTCATAAATATTCAGACAGACGTTTGCTTTTACGCACTCAGACAGCGGCGGCATACCTAATTTACGTCTCCCGCACTTAAGCCCACGCGGATGTATTAGTTGATGTGGAGGATTAATCGTACCTACGTCAGTTCGAAAAATGTTGACAATTTATTGGTTAAAACATGTAGAAACTTTATTGGTTTCGTTTCTTGGGATATTTATAATTTGCCGGTACAGTGACGTCATTAAACTTTAACAAAGAAGTGAATTTCTTTGTTTCCGCTGATTGTTGCTGATCAATAAAATTGATGAACAGCATAATAATTTTGTTTGGTAACCTTTGTCTTTTACATGTACAATTGTATTTGACTTGCAGTTATAAAGCTATACGACTTTTGGCGTGTTTGGAAAAAATTATAAGAGTAAGACTTTTTCGATGCGCGCGCACACTGACAACCAAAAAGTGACATGATGAAGTATGTTGCAAAGCGTCCTTCATGGTGTTGACATGGCAAACAATAACAACTCTTACCTATTATTCCAAGTTATATAATTAAACAGCTATCAATTGCATTTAAATAAAGAGTATTGGCACAGGGGATAGAAATTTAAGTTATTTTTTCTTTTGTCACGCCAATGAAATACAACTCCTTACGTAAGTAAGTACATAAGTAAAGACATAATTTTTTTTATCTTGTAGTTCACCCGATTTCAGGTGATAGCCGCCGCCCTTGAACATCTGTAACACCAAGTTAAAGATGCTTCGCTACCTTAAATTAAAATGGGCTCCAGACTACAAAAAATCTTCTTTTTGGTCTTCTGTGATGAGGTCGTGGTACTTCCCCGAACGAGCCTGTCCTTTCGTGCAATAAAAACTGCTTCGTGCCGTACCACAGTAAAAAAATGTATGCTACAATAAATAACACATTTTAGTTTTCACAGTTTTTCATTGTATCATCCCTGGTAACTCTTAGGTTTCAGATCACACAGAAACACAGAACACTGATCAATGGGTACGTTAGCACTTGCCAAGTATTAGATGCTAGCCATGTTATTATTAACAGAGTTATGTCTAACATCAATATGATTGAACTTTATGAGACTAATGAATATTTGCCATTATACAGTAAAATCTTTTTTCTAGAACCTTTTATTTCAAACTCTAAACAAATCGCTTCACTTCATGCTTCTGATAAAGTCATGTTCGAATTTTAAGCCTCACAACTTCTTGAAACAACGGTTCTCTGTTTATTTCTTTCCCATGAAAAAGCAAATCTGGACTTAGTGAAAGAAAATGTCGTTTATAACCGCCTGTCATTCACAGGACTTTGTTACAAGAAACTCCAACTCTGATTTTCTTATTATTTAGGACCCTCTTAGCATAATTTTAGTGAACAGCTGAATAAGAATTGTCAAATTGACTTAGGTAAGTAACTGTTAGTTAATTTACAACTTTCGGACGAGCTAATCTGAATTTACAAATAATGAAATTTTCAAGACTTAATTGGCATTCTGTAGAAGTTTCATCAATATAATAATCAGCCATACCAAACTTCTTTAGTTTTAACTCGCTCAATGTAATGCTCCCGAATATTGAAATTACATTAGAATTTGTGTAAATTTCGAATCTCATGACCAAATATTGTTTGACTGGACCAACATTTTTCATTTATGTTTATGTCTTAATGCTTCTACGAGTGTAACACAAATCCGTTTGTAAATATAATTAAGCCATAAACATAAGCTCCTACTTTAGTTTTCCTATGTTTTTTAAAGAAGTACAAGACTCTAGGTTACTCTTAGTAAATCCTGAATCAAAGAATGTTGGTTTACTTATTGGTATGAGCAAGTGATAATTGTTTTAAGAAATAAACAGGTTGGTTGAACACAGAAAAAATAGTCAGAGAAATGAAAAATAGTCAGTGAAGATAATTTACTTGGCCATTTTGACAGACAATAGCATGAAATCCTGCTTTAGGTGATAGTTCGTCGCAATATTTCATAGTGTACTTCCCTTTGAATAAGTTACTCGGTAGTAAAGATTTAACACAAAGTTAAACCTTATACATGTAACTTCAATCTTAATTTTATTCTGTCTAGATAACTTCCACCGCATATGTAAAATAATAACGTAAAGATAAAAAGCAATACATTAAATGGTAAAAGGCCGCATATGAGACAGTCAAATATATTTTAACATTTTTGGTAACAGAGTATAAGTCAAGTTTAAAGAAATTTTATTTTCTGTATTTACATTCTAGAATATTTGAACTAAGACGAAATGAAATGAACACAGCTCTAGTAATTCCTCTCTCGCCTTAAGCCTTGTCAGTGTCCCGCATAGCCTTATATATCATCGGCATCATAAGAAAGCCAACAAAGGCAATGGCGGCAGCGAGTTTTGAATAAAATTTTCATTGTGTCAGACATGGTACAAGTCTTAATAAAATCGTGGTTTTTTCAAATTAAATTTACGTATCGTCCATTGCAAAATTGTTGTTTAGAAGTACTTGACAGAAAAATTTAACTTAGATTATTTTAAAGTTTTGATTGATTTATTTATTTATTTATTTTCAAACTTCATGCACAAAACAGTACATAGGCGGACTTAATGCTGACAGCATTTTCTACCAGTCAACCTTAGGGTGGTACTGAGAAGCTGAGGTAGGTGTACAAACACAGTTATAAAAGAAAAAAAATA